CTTAGCTGTACGAAGACAGGTTTAACTCACAGTGCTGTACAGCTGCAAGTGTAGCCAAGGCCTAAGTGAGCATAGGGTTGTCTTACTAATTAGCCTCCAGCACTCTGTCACAGGGGCTAAAGAACTATATGGGATCCAAGGATAGTCCCCTGTTATGTAATTTCAAAGGCAAAATATTTGCTCTTCAGCAGTACCTTTGAATCCAGGATTAAGTCCTTTCCAACAGAGATGATTTAATATTATGCAGTGATGGAGTCAGCTTCTTGGAGGCAGGGAAAACATACCCACCTTCCTGTCACAGAGGAGACTGGGCCTTCTAAGCCCTGGTCGATGCTACGAGTTTAGGTCAAATTTAGCAGCGTTAGATCAATTTAACCCTGCACCCATCCACACGACGAAGCCATTTGTGTCAACTTAAAGGGCTCTTAAAATCGATTTCTGTACTCCTCACCAACGAGGGGATTAGCGCTGAAATCGACAGTGCCAGGTCGAATTTGGGGTAGTGTGGACGCAATTCGACGATATTGGCCTCCAGGAGCTATCCCAGAGTGCTCCATTGTGACTGCTCTGGACAGCACTTTGAACTCAGAAGCACTCTCCAGGTACACAGGAAAAGCCCCAGGAACTTTAGAATTTCATTTCCTGTTTAGCCAGCACGGCAAACTCAGCAGCACAGGTGACCATGCAGTCCCCCCAGAATGTTTCTATGCTCGCCCTATCATCTCCATCCCTGAGGTTATCGCAGATTAGAAGGCGAAAAAAACACACTCGTGATTACATGTTTTCTGAGCTCATGCAGTCCTCCTGCACTGATAGGGCACAGCGTAATGAATGGAGACATTCAGTGGCAGAGGCTAGGAAAGAATTGCTGTGTTTGCTTAACGGCAAAAGTATCATGACTTGCTAGCGATCCTGCCCGAGCCAGCTCACTGTGTCACATGCACTCCTCGCTGTGTCAGCCTTGGGTGACAGGGCTGAGCGGGACCCCAGCTGGCAGAAACTGGAGGACGGAGCCCCAGACCGGCAGCGAGCTCAGCCGCTCAGCCTGCTCCCAGTCTGGGGCTCTGTCCGCTGGCCCCGCTCAGCCCACTGCCTGCCTGGGGTTCGGATCATCCAGGCAGGCAGAGGGCTGAGCAGGTCTGGTAGACAGGACCTCGGAAAAAAGGTGTGAAACGATTGTCTGCCGTTGCTTTCACGGAAGGAAGGAGGGAGGGGGGCCTGATGACATGTACCCAAAACCACCTGTGACAAAGTTTTTGCCCCATCAGGCATTGGGAGCTTAACCGAGAATTCCAATGGGCAGCGGAGATTGCGGGAACTGTGGGATAACTACCCACAGTGCACTGCTCTATAAGTCGATGCTAGCCGCGGTAGTGAGGACGCACTCTGCCGACTTAATGCGCTTAGTGTGGACATGCGCAATAGACTATAAAATCGAATTCTAAAAAATCGACTTCTATAAAATTGACCTAATTTCATAGTGTAGACATACCCTAAGAGAGAACTGCTCTAGCTCATCTGTACTTCATTAGCTGCTTTGATGGGTCCTCAAGGGGACAGGTGTTTCTTATCAAGAGCCAGGGGGGAAAAGAAACAGGAAGAAGCTGTGGCTGAGAGGAGATGGGCAGGAATCCCAATCACCTGAAAATACTTTTAAAAAAAACAGGAGTACTTGTGGCACCTTAGAGACTAACAAATTTATTAGAGCATAAGCTTTCGTGGACTATGCATCC